CCATCAATTAACAAGTAATAGCAAAATTCAAAGACTACATTTTCCCACCACACATCACGAATCCACGCACTGAAAATCTTACATTTTCAATATATCACCTTCTTCCAACACTGACTCATCACTGGCTAACGGAGAGAAATGGCAGAGCACGTTATTTACTGATAAACATGTTGGAAAAGCAACACCTCTCTCAATCTTTCTCTTCACATTCTTGTACACATTTCCAGTTTGCCTACAAAGACACAAAAAAAACTATGAGAAAAAAATTCAATAAATAAATAAAAACAGAAACAAGCAATTACATGAAGATACGAAAAAAAAATTCCAAGGCAATGCTCCATCGATTAAAAATAAATATAATCTTACTCTCTAATATATGAATCTCCTTTCTCACAAATGTCCACAACCTTGGCCTTCGGTTTACATTCCGAAATAACAAGCTTCAAGGCCTCTGTTAATCAAAGACAAACATAATAAAAACATCAGAAATTACAATAAACAAAATATACGTAAATAAAATAATCGAACTTCAATAAAGTTCACAGAATTAATTGTGTAATGTATGAAATACCAAAATCCTAGATAAAATTTAGAACACACTGACGTTAAGAGAGTGAGGAACGCACTATTAACGATCTCAGCAGCGGTCTTGTATTTGGTAACCACTTCAGCAGAAGAGAGATCCAACTCCTTCTCCTCCCTTTCGTCGTCCGACATGGCGCCACAACTCTTTGGTCCTTTTGTGTGTGACCTCTGAAACACCCAAATGAAAAAGGACGAAAAATGAAGAAAACAAAAGGCAAGTATTCATCCAATTGGGTAGTGAAACAGAATAAAAAGCAGAGAAAGAACGAGGACTCAGATGAAACGCTGGGAAATTGATGGAGTTAGAAGTTACTCACTGTTGGAGGGTTCAAAATGATGGCAGTGCAGAAGAAAGAGCGAAAGAAAGGGTTTTAGGAATGAAAATTGGAAATTGTCGTCGAAGCAGGTCGAAGCAAACGGTGGGTGGCTTGGGGAACTAGGGTTAGAACCACATATGTTGCTTTGGCTTATATAGGAATTTTCAATGATAGGGTTTTTTTAACACTCCATTTCTTCCTTTTATTCATTATTTTAGCTATTTATATAATGTAATAATAAATATAAAAATATTATTTAAAATATATTAAAGTCAATTTTAATTGTTTTATAATGATCATAAATGATGTTACTAGGATATTAAGATGTTTTTATGTTCAATCTGGTCTTGTTAAAATTTATTATTGATATTTTCTCGCCCAAGTTATTGTTAAAAATAAAATATATTAAACGTTTCACAGCGAAACTGCTAAAAGTCAAATATAATAAACGCATAGTGTCTGAAAATTAATTTATTAATGGCTTAAGCATATTTTTATAATAATAAAATTAATGATTTTTTATTTTGATCTATTAAAACATTATAAAATATTTTGTTTACTTTTAATACTATGTAACATTAGTTAACTATTTGTTTGTTTATTGAATAAAAGTTAAATCACATTTAAATTGGTATCTATTCATGTTTTTTATGAGGTGGGTGAATATATGTGATTTAACAAAAATTCTCAATATTCTTCAAATAAATGTTGTTCATTTATTTTAAAATAAAACTTAATTAATAAAAATAATAACTTAAAATTTAAAAAATTCTAACAAAAATATTTTACAAAAAGTAAAACCAAAATTCAAACTTTTCATAACATCATCAAAAAGGTGAAAGAAAAATTTATCTAAATATCATTATCAAAACTAAATAATTTTACGCTAGTAACAACACATTTACGTTTTTATTTTTTCCATCATGTACATTATATTTTTAAAATATTATAATCAAAATATTATTTTTATTATTTTATTTGAAAATATTTTTCATATTTTTATAACTAGTTTTTAATTTAAAATTATTAAAAATAAAAATTATAACAAAATATAAATTATGATGAGTTAAAAAAATATAACTTTTCATTAAAAATATAATTTTTCACTATATAAAAGTAAAGTCATTATAAATAAATAAATAAATAAAACTAAACATTCTGAAAATGTAAGATATTTCTAAAAAAAATATTATTAACTTTTTAATAATCAATAAAAAAAAAACATATAAAATCTCCTAGTTCAGTTAAATTGTAATAACAATTCAACTTCTTCTTTTTTTTTCAATTCATCCCTCTTAATTCTATCTAAATCACCCCTTCCATAGTTCAACATCTTAACTCATGGTGTTATTTTAAATAATGAATAGGAAAAAAATATAAACCTTTTTTTACTAAATATAAAATGAATAAAGTATACTTTTTTTTATCTGACAGATTTGAAAAGTCTCAATTAACGCTGCTAAATTATTGTAATTTATTTACAAATTAACAAATTATCCTAAAAATGTTTTAATAAAATATGAAATATTGCAGATAATAATCTTCTAGAAATCACTATTTAATAAATAATAAAGAAGAAATGTAATGGTTAAATTGAAAATTTAAAATATTACAAAAAAAAATGATAAATATAAACAAAAGTTATTAAAAAAAAAAACAAAACAATGACTTTTTTCCATTTAAGAATGAGCATAGCACTCTTCCCCACACACCCAAAAACTCACAATCATATGGTTAAGGAATGTTTCTCCTCCCTATTTCATACTAACATGAGGTGTTTTTGGAGAACCTCTTTCTCCCAAAATTCATATGATTTCATCATATAACACTATTAATGAGTCCAAAGAATCTAAGTTATTACATGTAACATTCTAATTCTACTAACTTTCATCATTTTACTCAATTTTATTATAAGCTTAACTCCTACATGGTTTATATTGTTTTTCACTAACTAAAACCTAAAACACACTCAATTCCAATTGATTTCACAAAACTTAAAAACTACATGTAAAAAGGAAAAAAAAAATAGTACAACAAAAAGAAGCGTAATATAAAAACAAAACTTAGTAAAAAAAAAATTAAAATAAAAATATAACTTATAATTAATTAATGATGATACATTTCATCCTAATTAATATTTCGACATAAATTACATTTCACACAAATTATTGAACATTTTTATTCTAATGAATTGTATTTTTTTTGGATGTTACCTGACATTTAAGTTAATCTTATTGGATGTGCGTCAGTAAAGTTAATTATAAATTATATTATTATTAAAAAAGTGTAATTTAATTTAAATTATTTTTAGAATGACATAATTATATTCAACTATTTTATTTTACTACCAAACTAAATTCATAATAAAAAATTTATTTTACTTATATTCAAATAAATTATAAATCAGTTATTAAAATAAAAAAATCTCTAATTAATCCCGTTAAAACATAATTCTGAACAATTCAATTTGAATATTTACTTTTAAAGAACATTGATTTTTTTAATTAGTATTGGGATAACAAAAATGATTGAATTTGATTTTCAAAGGAAAATGATGGATTGAAAACTTGGTGTGAAAAATTATGGCAGTTGATAATCCATTGTATTAATTCATTGTTTTTTACACTTAATTTTTATTATATCATGCCTAATTTTTATTTAAACTATGAATGTTCTGCATTGCATGAATGAAAAATATGTTCTTAGGATGAAAGATAACTTATTATCTTGTGGTTTGTCATCTTCACTGCGGGACAATCATCCATCATCCATTGCATTCAAACCCTTTATCTTAGACACATATGTCAAATGTTGCATATTATTTCACAAATCATTGGAAAATTATTCAAAACACACTTTTTCACACTAATAATGATTCACAAACCACTCTGAGACTGATTAAACTTTAAAAATCACTCTGAAACCAATTCAATTCAGATTCAGTTCATCAAAAACAAAATCACTTTATTAAATTGTCAAACAGTTAAATGAATAACCAAACCTTTGAAGTGATAAGGTTCAGTTTTTCAAAAGGAACCATGCATACACCCTAACTAAAATGTGCATATTAAAATTTCTGTTAGCATCAATGTCATAAATCTATACTACAGTTCAAACTCAAACAAAATACAATTTAGTGAACAATTTACCAAAATTGAAAATGGGTGGTGAAAAGAAAAAGAAAATATTTTCACCTTTTGATTTTAGTTAGGCATTGATTGCATTACCAAATTTATTTCTACACATTTTAAAATTTATAATTTTTTATTTTCTAAAAATGCTTTTAATTATAAATGAATTAAAGTAAAACATAAATTTTTTGTAAATTACAAAGGAAGTAAAAAAAAGAAAAAAAAAGTATAATAACTATCCCACCTTAACAGGAAATAAAAAGTGTAAACATAAATAAATATTAGATTTCTCTGGATTCTTTGACTTCTTTAGTCCAAGAAGGTAATTCAACTTATACTAAAAATTAATAAATATTAAAATACAAGATATATCGTGAAAAGCCAATCAAAATAGATAACAAACAAATGCTTGAAATGACTTTGACATTGGACAGAAAAATTTTCATCTTAGATGACATCGTTGGACTCACAAAAAAGGTTCAAAAACCAATTTATGATTAGAGATGCGCTTATTTTTTTTCAGAATAAAACGTTTCTACATAACTTATCGTAAGTGTCCTTAATTGCGTGAAAAGCATAAAAATATAAAGATAATTTCTATGCTCCATTTCTTAGTTAATTTCAGATGGAGAATAATTTATTGTCATAAAAACATTTTGATTGTCATTTTCAATTATAACACAAATCTCAGAAGCTCAGCACTAGTTTAAAAACAATTTCTCACACAAAATGATTCAAAACTGGATTGATTTTAGAAAACAGCTCGAAAGTCGTTCATTTCAAACCGGTTCAGAAACAGTCACACACCAACAAAAATGTGCATAGGAAAAATTGCTATTAGAATTAATGTCAGAAGACTATACTAAAAATCATATCCAAGCAAAATACAATTTGGTGAACAATGTACCAAAATTGAAAAAGGGGTGGAGAATGAAATGAAAATCTTCTTTCATTGTTTGGGGTCAACTCAATCTTGAGTGGCCCCGTTTGTTGATTCCATAGGCTCAGCTTCAGCTGACTCATCTACCTTGTCCCCTTTCTTACCTGTGCAAACAACCAAGCATTGTTATTTGTTCAGCCATTCAACACAACGTACACTGAAACTTTTGATATGTAAATGGGGTTGTTCCGTTCAATAACATTAAAAAAGTAAGCTGCAACACAAGGAACAACAGAACAGCAGCATGCTCTTCAAGCCTACCTTTTTTCTTCTTTCCACCACCTTTCTTCTTTGTTTTTGTGCCCAAGGCTAGCCAGGCCTTAATTTCAGGATCATCAATTGTTTTTGTTGCCTGCAATTCTTGGAGTGGATGAGACGTGACCCGATCGGACCCATTGGGCATTAACAAGACCGTGAATTTGATGTGTGCAACATAGTCACCTGAAAAAGAAACAATGCAATGCATGACACGAAGGCTTAAATAATTGACACCTTGATGATCTAATTATGCTCCTAGCCAAAAGATTTTTACCAGGCTTTTCATGTAGAACAGGATATGGCTGCAAGAGCTCGTGGTTGACACATTCCACTAAGCCTAGACGTGCTCTTTTCTCTTCCAAAGCCCTATTATAAAACAAACGAAATTTTAAGACAACTGAAGATAATTAGAATTAGAACACATGTAGAAACAGAATTAAACACATGAAAGTAGTCAATTACCTAGCAGAGAATGGCATGATTGGAAATTTTTGGCTTATTTCACTAAAAATAAACCTAGAAGCTTTCATCTTCAGATGATAACTCTTGTCAACAGCCCTCTTATAAATGGTTGTCTGCTTCTCGTCCAACAACTTTGGCTGCAAGAGAATGAAAATTTACTTTATCATGCATTTCATGTATCATACACTAGCCAAGACATTGATATAGTTAACCTACCTTTCCATCCCCCGTGCTTGCTACAATATCAATAGCATAAACTTCATTCTCCTCAAACTCTACTTCGTCAACCCTTGTGTCCGGATTAGACAAACTAAGCACAACTTTATTCCCATCAATAACAAACTGCTTCATTTGGTGACTAAGAACACCTTCAACAATTTTACAGTCATACGCAGCAGCAACCTTTTGAATTGCTTCAGTTACATCCTTGTTCTGTGAAAAAATGAAATTTTGATTAAAAGAAGAATGAGTGCCAACTACTAAAAATAAGGTAATTTATGTATTCATATAAATAATTATATTGTACTGGTGAAAATATGCAAGCATACTGAATAAGAAGGGTAATTTCAAGCTTATTTTAAATAAGGTAACTGGAACATAAGGAAATACCTGTAATCATATCATAACAAAGTTTTCCTAAGTCTAAGGTTTATAAATGGTACGGTATTCAATCCAACATGAAAAATAATTGAAATAATCAATGGTTAGCGTATGGTACTGTGTCCCTTTTTTCTAGTTCTAGAAACTAAAAGGGATAAGTAATGGTTTGAATAGGGTACTGTGTAGGCTATAACAGACAATGTACTGACTATATGAATCAGCACAACCCTGAAACCATTTTCAGCCAACTCTAGTATAGGCAACAGGGAAAAGAGGAAACCAATATAGTAGCGATCACCTCGGCAAGGTTGCCTTTATCATAGCTATAAACATTTGCTACAAATATAAATATACACTGAAAAGGTTAACAAGAATGGCAAATGGCAGTAACATTGCAAAGTCTGGTTAGGGATTATAGAAAGGTAAAGGATAAGTAATGGTTTTAACGGAGGATTTTGTTGGCTATAATAGACAAATGTACTGACTATATATCAGCACAACCATCAAACAATTTTCAGCCAATTTTAGTGTAGGCAACAGGGAAAAGAGGAAATCAATATTGTAGATCACCTCGGCAAAGTTGCCTTTATCACAGCTTTTAACATTTTGATTCAAACATCAGAATCTAAGCACAGACTGACAAGACTAAAAAGGAGAGGCAAATTACAGTATCATTAAAAAGTAAATGAAGGGAGTACAGACAGGTAAAGAATAAGTAATTAGTAAAGGTTTTAATAGGGAACTATATTGGCTGCACAAAACAAGTGTACTGACTGTATAAATCAGCACAACCATGAACCATTCTCGCCAATTCTAGTATGGGCAACAGGGAAAAGAGGAAACCAATATGGTACTAATCACCTCGGCAAAGTTGCCTTTATTATAAGTAAATTTGCTACAAATGTTAGAATCTAGATACACACTGAAGAAGCTAAATCAAGAGGCAGATTACAGTAATATTGAAAGCATATAAAGGATAATGCAGCTACAGTACATAATCATAGTAAGCATCCAAAAAGTGCCACAAAAAGCTTGAGAAACAATCATATTACGACCTTGATTAAACATATTCTTGCCTAGTGAACTAGGCATTCAAAATGCCAATGGTGACCATCAGTAGTCAGTCAGGTATATATAGAACAGAGGTTGAGCATTCTCTCTATCAGTGTAACTATGACAGAAATAGGCATCATTGGAGTTAATCCATAGCCTATGATTTCTTCATCATATAGAGATTTCATAAATTTACAATATAGTATTATGGATCATAATAAGATAGTTTTACATGGTAATTTGGCAAGAAAAACAAAATCCCATTTATAATTTTTCTAAAATTGCATCAGAATAAAAAATAATTAATAAGGCACACATGTGTTTGCCGACAGGGCATGATAAGATTCATTATGCAGGCAAAATAACATAACAATGAGATACAAAATCAACAATTCTCTGTCAGTGTAACTATGACAAAAACAGGCTTCATTGGAGTTTATCCATAGCCTATGATTTCTTCATCATACAGAGATCAATTGATCAAATGAAAATAAATTATAAACCAAATGAGGATGTTCTTGAGGGAACGTGCAAAACTGGAAAGAAATGAGAGATATGCAGCTAATATTATGCAACAATTTAACTAAGAATAAAAATCATATGAAGTTTTTATCCAAGTCCATGGCAGAATTTATCATACAGGATGCAAAACACGGTACAGAAGACAGGAGTTCCAAAGATGAGCAATGTACTCAATTGCAAAACTCCATATGAAAAACCATAAATGATCTCTATCAGTGTAACTATGACAATTAAGCTTCATCGGAGTTTATCCATAGCACATGACAGTTTGCATCATATAGAGATCAAAATCCACAAGGCACACATTAAAGACAAAGAAATCCCTTCAAAAATACACATGAACCAACCTAATTTGTCTCCAATTTTAATATGCTGAATTGCTTATATAGCACATGACTTTACACCTACCTATCAACAAAAGGTACAATAGAAAGGCAATATATAGTAAAATTCAAATCAACCTAATAAAAAAATGCAAATTCAACAAAAAAACTAGTTACAACTGATTACCTTCTTTCCCGGTCTAACAAGCCTCAAGGCCACCTCTGCCGCAGTATTAGCAGCAGCGATGACATCCCCTGCCCTTCCTGAGACAGGACCTTCCTGAAGTACATGGGTATGAGCCACAGCAGCAATAAAACCGTCTATATGACAAGCCATATCACTGCAACCAACCAAAGAAACAACCATCAATTAACAAGTAATAGCAAAATCCGCAGACTCCATTTCCCCACCAAATATCACAAATTCATGCACTGAAAATCTTACATTTTCAATATATCACCTTCTTCCAACACTGACTCATCACTGGCTAGTGGAGAGAAATGGCAGACCACGTTATTTACTGATAAACATGTCGGAAAAGCAACGCCTCTCTCAATCTTCCTCTTCACATTCTTGTACACGTTTCCAGTTTGCCTACACAGACAAAAAAACAAACCCTGTGAGCAAAATTTCACCAATATATAAATAAATTAAAAATAAAAAGAAGCTATTACACGTACACATGTAAAAAAAAAAAACATATATCAGAGACAATGCGCCATCGTAGAAAAATAAATATAAGCTTACTCTCTAATGTATGAATCCCCTTTCTCACAAATGTCCACAACCTTGGCCTTCGGTTTGCATTCTGAAATAACGAGCTTCAAGGCCTCTGTAATCAAGGACAAATGCAAACAAAAATCAAAACTTACAATAAACGAAAAATATAAATATAAAATAAATTGAACATCAGCAAAGTTCCCAAAATAAATTGTGTCCAACATATAAAATGTCAAAAGCTAGAAAGAATTTCAGAACCCAGAGACATTAAGAGGGTGAGGAACACACTGTTAACGATCTCAGCAGCGGTCTTATATTTGGTGACCACTTCAGCAGAAGAGAGATCCAACTCCTTCTCCTCCCTTTCGTCGTCCGACATGGCGGCACAACTCTTTAGTCCCTGTGTGCGTGACCTCTGAAAAACACAAATGAAATGGGACAAAATAATTAAGAAAACAAAAGGTAAATATTCATCCAATTGGGTGGTGAAAGAGAATAAGAATCACAAAAAGAACGAAGACCCATATGAAAAATTATTTATTGTTATATGAAGTAACTCACTGTGAGGAGGTTGAAGAAGATGGCAGTGCAAAAGAATGAGTGAAGAAGGAAAGGGTTTTAGGAAATGAAAATGTAAAACGATTGTAGAGGCAAAAGGTGGGTGGCTGACTGCAACTAGGGTTAAGACCAAGAGATTGCTTTGGCTTATATAGGATTTTTCATTTTCGTTGCAGGAATACAATCGATTCTGTAGGGTTTTTACACTCCATTTCTTCATCTTATCTTATTTTTTTATATCGTAGTATATTAATAATAAAAATATAAGAATATAATTTAAAATATATAAAAAGTATTTTAATTTCTTTATCATTATTATGAATGTTGCTATTAAGATATTGTGTATATTTTATTAAAATTAGTTATGTTAATTTTTAATACTCATTTAATGAAGTTATTGCTAAAAATAAGATATAAAATGTTATAGTGTATGACAATGTTGAGGTGTAAAGATCGGTCAAAGATAGGGAACTTCCTCGTAAGTTCCTGGTCAAAGGAAGGCTACTTCCTTGCAACTTCCTGGTCAAAGGAAGGGAGCTTCCTCTCAATTTCCTCTCAAGAAGGATTTGTTTGGCTATAAATACCTCATTTTGTAACCTCATTTGTATCCAATCCAAGTGTGAAGAAAGAGTAGAGAGAGTGTATTCATACGGGCTTGTGTGAGTTGTAACATTCGGTTTATCCTCTTATTCTAGTTCATTCTCCTGGCTTGGTTCGCCCCGGATGTAGGATTTAATCCGAACTCGGGTTAACAAATATTCGTGTCTTTTATTGATCTCACATTGGTGTATTATTATTATTCCATCTTATCCGACCTTATTTCCCAACAACTGGTATCGAGCCGGGAGGTTGGAAATAAGATGGAGGGAAAGATTCAAGTCGAACGGTTCAATGGTTCCGACTTTGGATTCTCGCGAATGCAAATGGAGGCTTACCCGTACGGGAAGGACCTCTACGCACCTCTTGGGGAAAAACCCGAGAAGATGAGCGATGATGAATGGAAGGTGCTCGATCGGAAGGCGATGAGCGCTATAATTCTTTCGCTCTCTCGGAACGTCGCCTACCATGTGAAGGGAGCAAAAAGCACGAAGGAGGTCTTGCAGATACTCGTCGATATGTATGAAAAACCATCAGCAATAAACAAGGTGATGCTGATGAAAAAACTGTTCAAATTGCAAATGGAGGAGCGAAAGTCAGTGGCCGATCATCTCAACGATTTCAACCAACTCACTACGCAGTTGGCATCGGTGGATATTTCGTTTGATGATGAGGTAAAAGCCCTAATCTTGCTCTCATCATTGCCGGACAGTTGGGACGTGGCTGTTACTTTGGTGAGCACTTCTTCTGGCAAGGAGAAGATGAAGTTCGACAACATAAGAGATATGATGTTGAACGAGGAGACCGCAGAAATCAGGCGGGTGGGTCGTCTGGCTCAGCCCTACATACGAGTCCGAGAGGAGACCCGAAACACGAGGGAAAATCCGTGGGAGGTCAAAATCCAGGGGAAGGAATAAAGGCAAGAAAGAGATGGTGTGTTGGAGCTGCGAGAAGCCTGGGCATATGAAAAGCGAATGCCGGGCACCAAGGAAAGACAAAGAAGGTCGGACAGCCAATGCCGCGACGGAGGACACGGCGGATGCACTCTTGTTGAGTGTGAGAAGCTCGCTCGATGACTGGATCGTGGACTCGGGGGCCTCATTTCACTCATGCAGTAGCAGAGACATCATGGAGCCATACACCGCAGGTGATTTTGGCTTGGTATATCTTGCGGACAACAAATCCCTAAAAATTGTAGGGAAGGGAGATGTGCGGATCAAGTCCGCAAATGGGTCATGCTTGGACCCTACGTGATGTGAGACACATTCCAGGACTGAAGAGGAATCTCATCTCGGTTGGACAGACTGGACAATGACGGCTTCCACACAATGTTTGGAGACGGAAAGTGGAAGGTCAGCCGAGGAGCTATGACTTTGGCAAGAGGGCTGAAGTCGGAACGCTTTACACGGCGAGTAGATCCAGCTCAAACATTCTCCTGGCAGGAGTTGTCTCACAATCGCACTTATGGCACGGTCGCTTGGGCCACATGAGCGAAAAAGGAATGAAGGTACTAAAGTCGAGAGGACTTTTGCCCGAGTTGGAGTCGGTGGACGTGGGTCTCTGCGAGCAATGCGTGCTTGGAAAGCGAAGCGAGTGAGCTTCATAACCACCGGAAGAGCTCCAAAGACGGAAAAACCTGGAGCTAGTGCACACTGACTTATGGGGGCCAGGCACCGGTGACATCTCTTGGAGGATCGATGTACTACATGACGTTCGTCGATGAGCTGCACAAGAAAGGTATGGGTGTACTTTCCGAAAAGAAAATCCGAAGCCTTTGATACTTTCAGGAGATGGAGAGCACTCGTGGAGAAAGAGACAGTGTCTGGAAGTGAAATGTCTCGGATCCGACAACGGTGGCGAGTACAACAGTGAAGCCATCAAAGAATACTGCGCCGATCATGGGATCCGGATGCGAAGATGGTCCCGGGGACACCTCAACAAAATGGCATTGCGGAGAGGATGAACAGAACACTGAATGAGCGTGCGAGATGCATGCGATTGAAGAGTGGACTGCCCAAGATGTTTTGGGCGAAGCGATCGGCACGACCGCTTTCTTGATCAGCCGGGGCCTTCGTCCCACTCGAACAACAAAATTCCGGAAGAGGTGCGGAGTGGTAAGAAAGTTGATCTCTCTTTCTTACGTACCTTTGGTTGTTTGGCTTACGTTTTGAATGACGACCAGGACAAAGCTGGATGCTAAGTCCGTCAAATGTACATTCATTGGATATGGGACTGACGAATTTGGGTATAGATTTTGGGATGATCAAAATCGGAAAATTATTCGCGATCGTAATGTGGTGTTCAATGAAGGCATAATGTACAAGGACCGGAAGGAATACCTGGACGATGACAAGACCATGCAGGAGTATGTTGGTCTCGATATTTCAAATACCGGAATCATGAGACCAGCGAGATACAGTGGGAGCTCGAGATAGATGAGATCGAGCGTACAGAAGAAGAGGCGGAACCGGAATCGGATGAACCGATTGCTGAGAGCGGCACGCCTCGGCACTGGGTCGAGAACCGAGGATGAGAAGGGCCCGGATAGGTACTCCCCTTCTCTTTATTACCTACTTTTATCTGATTCTGGGAACCCGATCGTTATGCAGAGGCGGTTAAAGATGCCCACAAGAGCAAGTGGGAGCTTGCGATGGAAGACGAGATGAACTCGTTGAAGAAGAACCACACATGGGATTTGTGTGATCTCCCACAAGGAAAGAAGGCTCTTCAAAACAGATGGGTCTATCGGGTCAAGGAGGAATCGGATGGAACAAAACGGTACAAGGCCGGACTTGTAGTAAAGGGATTCCAACAGAGATACGGTATTGACTTTACCGATGTTTTTACACCTGTTGTTAAGTTAACCACTATACGTTTAGTGTTAAGCATCGTAGCGGCGGAAAACTTGGAGTTGCAACGGTTAGATGTGAAGACGGCCTTTCGCATGGGGATCTCGAGGAGGAAATTTACATGGTGCAACCGAGAGGGATATAGAGGAAATGATCGGCAGGTCCGTCGCCTAAAGAAGAGCTTGTACGGACTGAAACAGGCTCCTCGACAGTGAGTACCGAAAATTCGATAATTTCATGCTGGAGATAGGATACTCCAGGTGTAATGCTCGATCATTGTTGCTATGTGAAGAAGTTCGGTAACTCTTTCATTATTTTACTTGCTATATGTGGATGACATGCCGATAGCGAGGATCGGATGTCAAGGAGATCGAGAGGCTCAAAGATCGGCTATCAAGGAGATTTGATATGAAGGATCTAGGAGAAGCGAGACAGATCCTGGGCATGAAAATCACGAGGGACGAAATGCTTGGTAAACTTTGGCTTTCTCAATTTGATTATATTGAGAAGGTGTTGTGTAGATTTAATATGAATATTGCAAAGTCGGTTCGAGTGCCATTGGGAAGCCAGTTCAAGTTGTCCAACAAGGATTCGCCCCAGGATGACTCGGAAAAAGAAAAGATGAGAGTTACGCCGTATGCTTCGGCTATCGGGAGCCTAATGTACGCTATGGTCCGCACCGGCCGGACATAGCACATGCAAGTGGGAGTAGTCGGTCGGTTCATGAGCAATCCTGGAGTGATGCACTGGGAGGCGGTAAAGTGGATCCTTAGGTACCGAGGGGTACTAAGGACCGGGCATTAGTATTTGGCAGGGGTACCCTTACCCCGTGCGGGTATGTCGATGCTGATTTTGCAGGAAGTGATCTTGACAAGAGGAGGAGTACTACTGGGTACGTATTCACTTACGGCGGGACGGCCGTATCCCGGATCTCAAAGCTGCAGAAGATAGTCACATTGTCCACAACGGAAACTGAGTACGTGGCAGTGACGGAGGCAGCCAAGGAGCTCGTTTGGCTGCAAAACTTCTTGAATGAACTTGGGAGACCTCAAGAGGATGTGGCTCTATACAGCGATAGCCAGAGTGCAATCCATCTGGCAAAGAATCCCGCGTTTCACTCGCGAACGAAGCACATCGAGGTTAAGTATCATTTCATCCGGCAACTTCTAGAGAAGAAGATGCTGCAGCTGAAAAAGGTTCGGGGAGATAGGAATCCTGCAGACATGTTGACCAAGGCGGTAACTTTGGAAAAGTTGAAGCCGTGTGTAACTTCGACTGGCCTTGATGATTAAAACAGGCGGACTTAGCGGAACCAAGAGCGAGAGATGAACGGGTTGACCAATCTTCAAGTGGGAGATTGTTGAGGTGTAAAAAT